GACAAGAATGTAAAGAATAAGGACTGTCCACTTGATTGCCGGATTCGGGTAACACACAAGGCCAGAACAATGTCACGAAAGGTACGTATAACTCTTGTTCTAATTCTATAATTAGCCTTTCTAATGGGGTACCACCTTCTTTGCAATTCATTTACAACAGAAATCCAGGGCCCACCACGCTCGTGATTACCAGCGGTTGGCTCAGTTGATAGCATTGACTGGGCTTCCAAATGAAACCCGCATGGCTGCAGGACTGAAGGAAGGGTCATACTGGGAAAAAATCGCCACCGAATATGTCAATGGTCCTCCAGAGCAGAGCATGATAAAAGCAATTTATAACCTCTGGCGATCCACCTTTTTTGTTAAGTTGGTGACCGAAATGTTGCAAGTAAAGGTAAGATACGAAAACGTTAATAAGAATCACGAGGTTTTGTCGTGACCTCCTTGAACTCTCAATAATAATCTTTAAATTGATACGATTGTAATTAGTGACAAGGCCGGCTGAGAGGAGGGGTGTAGGAGGAATGTTGGAAAAATAAACAAAAACAAAAAAAAATGCGGCAAAGAAAACCTTCAAAGCAAACCTTCAAACCAAATGTAAGTCCGTTAAAGAAAACTTAAAATAGAAATGTGCTGAAAAATCTGAAATATATTCACCTATTTGTATGTACCTTTTCAGGGTAGTAACAAAGATCCCAAAGATGCAGAAAGTCGGGCAGGGGACAAAGTTAAAAAGTGCAATGAGCCGGTCAGTTTATTTCTTAATATTGGTCCATGCTACGCTTTGTTTGCGAGTACATTTTAATAATTTTTCAATCTGTTGAATTGTTACTATTGGGCTTTGGAGTTTTCCGTGTTGCTTTTTTCCCCATGTTTTTAGAAGGCCCAGACGAATCATGTAGGGCCTGTCCAAAGCCAAAAAATTTGGTCACCTAAAATCATATCCTCAAGATATGTTTTTAAAAGAAAGAAGAAGGTAATTTATCTTGTATGCTATAAAAATGCTACGGCACGAGAGAAATAATAGTCTGTTTGTCTCTTAGGAATAGATATCCTCCTTCCACCAAATCACTAATCGTTATCGTTGTTTTTTAGGTCAAATTGAAGTGCTTTTTTCAAATTGGGAGCTGCAACCTTGCTTTTCCCGGCCATCCACGCTAGCGGTAAGCGCATTTCATATCTTTTTTGTTTGTTAACTGTTAATGAATCAAAATTTCACTCGGAATACTATACCTATCCGGAGTAGTCGCAACTTGTCTACAGCAACGCATGCATCAAAAATATGAACTTTTAGACAAAGGAAATGCTTACCTGTTTCCACCGAAGGTCAATATTTGGGAGATCTTGGCACAACTGTACAAGTTTTATAGCTTATTCCTGGCATTCCAAAACGTTTTTGCTCTTGCAAACACATTTCTAAAGAGATATCAACCACGCTAGAAATTTGAAAATCGATGATGCTCAAAGTCATATTTATCATCTTTTTTAAAAATTGTCATTATTATTTTTAGGACGAGGTTCTATTCTGCGTTTGCCGTAAGCCAGAAGACAACAGGTAGCTGTTAATATCGTTTCTATCTGAAAGGTATCATTTTTCTTCCCGTTCATTGCTTATTGCTTCTGCTAAATAAGAGTTCTTCTATCTGCAGGACATATGTTGGATGTGATCTCTGTTTTGATTGGTTCCACCCAGAACGCTTGGGCATGAGCGACGAGGACATATCAGCCATGCTCAGTTCCAAGACTTTTCTCTGTCCGTCCTGCAGTAAATTCGGCGAAATCGACACTATGGAGAATATTGAAGAAGAAGAAAAAACGGCGGTAAGCAGCGGTTATGAAAACGAATTTTGTAATGCATTGGATATCCTTTTTTTCTCTTTTTTTATAGATGGCCCACTAAAACATACAACAAAATAGTTTTAAGATTTTCCCGCTTTCCAACATTTCAGCTCCCCGCTGCCTGCACCGAGGACGATACTGAAAATATTCAGGTAAGAGGGATGCCCCGCCATTACATAGTTTCTTTTCTTAGTCGAACACACATTGTCGGTTTTGATTAAGATCATTCACTTTTTTGTTGTTGTTTGATTTGGCACTCAACATTATTTCCAACAGCTACAACAAGAAACAGCACGCCTCGTGGCACGTTCTGATGTTCCATCCCCTTCCGGTGATTTCTGTGCAGAACTCCCACCAGGTGCCTGGTACTGTCTTTCTTTAGCTGACATAGCGAGGCTGACGCCTATCGCAAGGGAAGTAGGGAGGAGGGCGATGCCAGCTGACTGGGATAATGTTCTCTTGAAGTACGTCCAAAAGACCAATCCATATTTCGTGTTTCGTTGTGATCAAAACCGCGTTAAAAAAGTGAATTCCAGGAAAAAGAACACTCCATTTTTTCGTGGAATTCTAAAATGTACCTTTCCCGGTTGTTCAGTGTCCGCTGTGGTGAAAATTTGGCAGGAGAACAATGACCAACTGGAAGTTACCTACCCTGGAAATTTAAGACACCGGAGGGGTGTCCACCACGGACGGCGAATTAAAGGGGCAGCACGCGACGAGATAAAAAGGGCCCTACATGGTTCAGATCCGAGTAGGGTGCACCACCGCTTGCTTTCAAATCTTCCAGCAAAGGTATATGCCTCAGGTAACAGAGATGGTGTAGGTAGCCACAAGATGCTTCAGAAGATATCCTCTGAACGGAACCTCCGAGGACGGCCTTTCACAGACACAATTCAGAGCTTAGCACATTTGAGAGCCCGTTTCGTCAAGGAAGATCAAGAAATGTATCCTGAGCACGTTAAGAAGGAGTCTGGTCCCCACCGTTTCGGATACATACAATCGGTATCTCTCTACCCCACAATCGTCACGATGTGGACGGAAGCCGACCTGCGCTTATACTTCGATATGGCCCGTAATGGTGCTGTCTTTTTCGACGCGACTGGCCAAATTGCCCGTAAGGTTTTTACCGACACAGGGCCTATCCTGTACTACTCTTTGGTTGTGTCTCATCCCACCCCGGGAAAAGCGTGTATAGCCGTTGCCGAAATGTTTTCTAGCAGCCATGCAGTCCCAACGCTCACCAACTTCTTAATGAACTTTCGCCGTGATGTCATGAAACTTCATCGTGGAAGACCTGCAAATCCAGCTCACCTCCATAGGTACACTGGGTGTTTCCACTATGGAAGGAGGCTGTCTGGCCACATTGATAGCCAAGCTCAGACAAACTCAACAGTTGATGATCCTGGATCCACCTACTTCACTGGTTAGTGCTAAACTTGTGCAGTAATTTTACCTGAATCTCGGAATTGGAAAATAAGTTTAAAATTACTTTCTATCATTGAAAGAAACACCGATTAATACGTCGCTAAGGCTGTTAATTAAGCATTATCAACTTAAATCCCACATATAATTAAATGCATTTAGAACATTAAGTTACTTCCAGTGATATGTCTGCTATTAAGCCTCTTGCTGGACTTTCGACTATACATTGAATTAAATGCAATGAAGACGCAATGATATAGACTCTAGAATGTCCATCTCAACAGAGTACATTTCACAAGCACAATCCCACAATGTTGGCAAGTGACCAACACGATGCCCACGAAAGCCTTGTGAAGGTGTTGAATGCTATCGTTACTACGGTGTGCCTCACTTCAGCTGTACAATACGTCACGTTTCAAGATAAGCATGAATTTCAGTCGTAATTTGTGCATTGATACAAGCCTTTTTTTAAGGACACGCAGTGGACACCACAACGAGCTTTGATTGAAAATACCAGGAAATGTCAACAGTGCCAGCAGGTTGGCCGTTAGCAATTATTTTTTATCCCTGTAAATAGCATATTTCTTGGTCGGATTGAATAATGACCTGATTAAAGGTAATGCCGGTTGCATTTTTGAGTCCGGTTTAGCATTAACTTCTTACCACCCGAGCGCGCGGGACGCATTGAGGAATATATATTGGCCCGGGGTCGTGGCAGTATGGATCGAGGGCAGCGATGTCCGAACAAAAACGACCGAGGGCCAATATTCCCCAGTGCGGCTCGAACAAACTAGGTTAGTTCCTAGTTTATGACATGGCACCGGGGCCATGGTTGTTAACTGCATTTGCCGGGCTTTCTAGAACAGAAAATGCACAGGTTATTACAGATTCTATTGTAAAATCCCGAACTGAACGAGGAAAGAACCAAGCAGAACGCTTAGCTTTACCCCAAGGCTACCTTGTCATGTAGTAAAGCCGATTAACATCATTAACATGCGATTATCTACATGAATAATTGAAGGTGACTGATGACCTTGAGGAATGGACTCATTTCGTGGGAGCGTATCTATGCAAGGTTGCAATAGTGTGGAGGATTGCATAGTAAAGATGGGCCCACGAGGAGACGCAAAATCCAAATTGTGAGTATTAAACCACGTTTGTAACATGCATGGGGTTTCCCAAGAGCACATGAATTATCTTGTTTTCTAAATTACAAAATGATGATAAGAATCGTAATAATAGTAATAATAGCAATAATAATTTATTATTAATGTTATAATTTTATCGAGCTCATTAAAATTCTTCAATAAAAATTGATATGATAATTTTTCCAACACAAAACTATTTACAATAACGATTCCGCTAAAGGAAGCAAAATGTAGTTTGCAATGACCTGTTTAAAATGTCATAGAAACGTAGCATAAGTATTTGCAGTTTGTGCCATCGATTGTGCGCACGAAGTGATACAAGACAAAAGAAAATTACTCTGAAGCTTTACGATGCACATTTTACTACTACTAATAGTAATGAGGATAATAATAATAATCATAATCATAATAATCATAATAATAATATTAAACATGATAAAAGCCATCATCATTATAATATTGACTGGCTGTTTTAGGTACTGTAACGAATGTACAGAAGATACGATGCATTACGTGTGGTCAACTATAGTGGAAGAGCCCCAACTCTTAATAATCCAACTAAAGAGATTTAACAACAACGGAAAGAAACTGCAGAGAAAAATGAAAGTGACACAGTAAGAATGGATGCATTGTTCTCTGTTCATTGCCTCACTTGGCATACCATTCAATTCCGGGTTGTTACTTTTTTAGTTGCTTTCAATCTTTACCATGAAATCAAGTTGTGTCCTCTTTTATCTCCTTTAGACAGATAGACGTTTCAGCAGTGTGTTCCATTCAGCCGGGAGATAATCTTTCCTACAGTTTAATGGGAGCTATTGTAAGTAGGACCAAAAACATACTAGTACTTCAACTTTAATTCTTTTGGAGGAGCGGTGGCCCTAGCAGTACAAAGAAAAGTGTAATGAAACTTTCGCAACTAACCGTTTTCATTGAAATTGTCATTTTAGTTACGTGAAGGTCAGACCAGCATTTCAGGCCATTGTAAGTAAAGTTCATTACAATTTATAACCATAATTGTTACCGGCAATTTGAAAAAATAATTTGACCTATGCGAAACTGACTATTCCACTTTATCACTTTATGTCTGCATGTATAGACACCTCGCTATTGAAGCTCCAGGGATGCTGGCACTTATTCGACGATGAACGCATTTCAAAAGTTAACGACACTAATGCGGCAGCGGAGCTGGAAGTATGTTGTGATAATTCCTACAGTGTCTATGTTACTCTAGTATTTGACTCTTTAGAAATGTTGTAATGAGTTGTTCGTTATAACGCACTGTCGTACATTTAACAGCGAAGCGCATATTTGCTGTTCTTCGAGAAGAAAACGGAAGTCAAACCACTTTCCAGTCAGAAGCCAATCTGCAAATACTCTCCAATGGAGAAAGGCAAGTGCATCATGAGAATAGTACTGTTAGTGTACATTTCACATCGCTAGTCACGGTTGGTTTCTATCATTTAAAATGCGTTTGACCTTATTTTTAGCCTCAGAAGTTTCTTGCGAAACAAATACATTTGGGCAAGCAGTGGACAGTTCTTCCACGGGGGTTGGCGCAAGCTTTGTAATCTCTTGTTTCTTCTGTGATATCTACGTGTAATGTATGGTGGTTCCACATCCCGTATCATAGGAAATATTTATTGTGTTCAGTCGAATTAAAACCAACCAAATTACTCCTCTTTATTGTCACTCTCACACAGGTCAAAACCGACGATGGCATATGTTGCTTGAATCAAATCATGATCGATGAGGTAAGTTTCTAAGTGTTGTGGCCTCGAGTAAAGTTAGTTTTACGGCAGTTGAATGCCATTTAACGGAGTTAACAACAAAGAGAGAATGCGTTCCCATAGTTGTCAGCGGTGTCTTGATATGTCCATGCACCAGGATTCGGTGAGCTCCTGGACCGAGATGTGTTGACAGCCTCCACAACCGTAGCGTTTACAGTGAGCGTCGTTTTGCATGAGAGCACAACTTCAAGCATTGCCCCTCCCTTCCCTCCCTCTTTCCACTGTTAATTCAGTGTGACGGGTGCCTGTCCACTCTTCCGCGTGGGGGCTAATCGCTCAGTTTCCTGACCAGCCATGGGAGCGTTTTCCATCTAAGAGCTGGCTACCAATAGTGGAAACTCCTGGATGTTTCAAGCACACGACCGCCATTTAGCGATGCAGTTGTTAACCAGTAGATAAGTCGCCTCTCTCCTGTTTAATACTAGGTGAACAAAGTGGCGTTTAACGAGGCAGACGACACCGCAACCCTTGTCAATACGAGTGGTAGACCAGTTCGAAACTTCTCATATGAGGAAATAAGGCGTCTGATTGGGAAATCTGGCACCACGAGAGAGCTCAACAAATTCGTAAGCGTTTTTTCTTTTTTTTTTTTGCTGCCCATTTCTTTCTTGTGAATTTCACAATGACGGTTATTATGATTATTCCATGTTATTCCATGTTAGGTAATCAACGGTTACTTGGAATTGCTCATAAACGACTACAACCAATTCAGGGTAAGAGTTTAATTTCGCATTCTGCTACCGGCTGTTACCTCGAACTAATGATGACGTTTCTTCAATTATTACTTCGCAGGACGAGGACACATGTACAGGAAAGTGTGCGCTGGTGACTAGTAACGATTTCTCAGAATTGAGAAAGAGTGTACTTGAAGAGAAGACTCCCTTAATTGACAAAGGAGGGATAGCGAAACTTCATTTTCATAAATGTATTAGTTTCCGTTGGAATAACTAAGCCATGCAGTAAAATGTTTTCAATTATCGTTAAAGGTTACGTGTGCCGAGGGACCAAAGGACGCAGGTCATGTATTTGTTGCGGTGCATTTACCTGGGCCTCCAGGGCACTGGTGCTTACTCGTAAGGACGACAGAATTTTTAACTTTCTTTCTTTTTACGTAATTCTGTATTAACATCTGTTCTCTTTTAACATATTCAAATGCCATAGCATTACAAGAACAAATTATTACAGGAAACGGAAAATCAAAGAAAAATTCAGTGAATGATCGTAGAAAATTCCGAACGTGTTTAGACACGCATATGTAACGCTACTCTTTCTCATAAAGTGTAATTGGAAGTGATAGTCGGAAATATCAAATGGCTACACTGTGGCAAGGGGTGGCAAGTCTGGTAGCACCACAGCCTGAATTGCCCACTAATGGGAAATGAAAGAAAAAAAAATTAATAACCCCTGTTTCGTTTAACCTTTCAGTATATCAACAGGAAGAAAAACGCATGGTGTACTTGGACTCCTTGGGAATTGGAGCGCAATCTTAGGAAACTTTCCGTGTCGCTCGGGAACTTACATTGCTATAAAAGTTACAAGATCTACTACTTTACCAGTTTGGCTGAGGTGTCTATCTGTCTGTCTGTCTGTCTGTCTGTCTGCCTTTATGTCTGTCTGTCCGGCTATAAATGGTTGGGGTCGTTAAAATCGCAATTCACCTTGAAAGCTTTTATGGCCTAGCTAGTGACAATCTCTTTAAGTCGAAAATAGCAACGATATTTAAAATTATGACGTCATTTTAGATGTTTGACTCAAATCGGACGTAACAAGAATGGCGAAGATTCCGAATGGAACGCCTGGAGACTTGAAAAACTTACGGTGAGGATTTCACTGCTATACGTTGCTCTTCTTAAATTACTTTAGTGAACGTAAGTGTCTGTGAAGGAGTTCAAACCACAACAGACAAACAGTCTGACAAATAGGATTTTTTTTTTCTGTCCATACAGGACAAAGACATATTGCCAATTCAAGAAACAAACACTGACTGTGGAGTTTTCGTATGCATGGTAAGTTGCTCATTGTTCCAGGCCTCTGTGTTTGTTTAAAAATATAGGACTGTCATCATTCAAATGATCTTTTTTTTTTTCCTTCTCGCTTTCAGTATGCATTGTGTATAGTCCTGGGAGGAGTATTTCAATTCTCGCAGGTAGAAGCCGAAAGAATTTTCTTGTTTAAGTAGAACCTTACTCGCCCAGTTTCTCTAATATACTTAACAATTCAAGTCTAAGAAAGTATTTTTAGGAAGCGGAATAGCGAACTTCACCAATTTACATCCTTTACAACGCAACTTTTGCCAACAGGCAAATGTAAAAACAGTAAGGATGCAAATGGCCTATGAGATCCTGGAGGGAAGGATATCGTGAGTATAAATTCCTTTAACTTCAAGCAGGACAAAAGAACATAGTACGATCTAGTATGTAAAGTTGAAATAAGACTATTTGTTTACTTGTACATTATAAATCAACATGCCACGATATAACGTAACGAGCTCAAATCTTATGTTACAGCTTTACGAATCTCGCACGATTTGGAGACAGTACCGTTTTGCCCACAGGGTGATATAGGTAAGGTGCA